AATTTTGTTTGGTTCAACATATATTCTTTTAGTTAGGAGATTCTGTACATTTACGCTGCCTGGTTTAATCAAAATGAAATTGTGTGATAATTAACACTGAGTTAGCCCTCTGTGGATAATCGAAGGCTAATGCCAGTTCTTTTCTCTCTTGATTTAATTCCTGATTTCAGGCTATTTAACTATGCAATAAGTCTATCTTAAAGTGGTTATGATTGGAAGAAGAAAAGCAATATTAACTAATTTAATTACTTAAAATAGAAGTTCAGTATTTTTTAAAATCCAGAAATTAGTGTGAAAGAGTGGTTTAGACTATGAATTAAACCAAATTGGGGGATTATCTTGATTCATTTATATGTACTACTCTGTTTCCAGTCAACATACACAATAGACATTTGGGTAGGCTATAAAGTATGCTCCCAGATGAGATCCAGATGATATTAAAATTTTTAGCATGGGCTTCCCTGGTGGCACAGTGGTTGAGAGTCCGCCTGCCGATGCAGGGGACATGGGTTCGTGCCCCAGTCTGGGAAGATCCCACATGCCGCAGAGCGGCTAGGCCCGTGAGCCATGGCCGTTGAGCCTGCGTGTCCGGAGCCTGTGCTCTGTAACGGGAGAGGCCACAACAGTGAGAGGCCCACATACCAGAAAAAAAAAAAAAAAATTTTTAGCATATCTGAAGATTTTTAGCAAAAGAGAGAAAGTGGTTTACTACAGGGCAAGTCCTTGCTCAGAGTCAGTTCTCATGGTAGTTCTGTCCCTGGCAGTCTGTGTTACATGAGTGAGTCCCCTAACCTTTCTGGAAACATTTCATTTTTTCACTTTACAGACAACTCATAGTGCACATATAAATTCACACTTCTTAGCAACTCTGTGGTTCCCAGGAGCCCAGCCCAGAGATTGGGAAGCAGTGAATTAAAAAAGCTCTGTTAACCTTTCTTGGTCTCACATTCTAATTCCTATTAATCTAAGAGGAATTAGCAACAATTGAGGAAAAGCAAACAAACTGGAAATCTGAAAACAGGGAAGTGAGACTAACCACTCGAGCTGATAATTATGTATGAGTTCTTTCCCTTTGAGTGGTGGCCAGAAACTAGAGACAGTAGAACTGATGAGCCAGGATGTCCTGCTGGTGCTGGCTGCATATTGAAAGGAAATAATCCAGATAATTGTTTAATTGGATGCTATTTAAAAAGAGAAGCTGAAACTCCCAAGAATTGTGATCCAGAGTAAACATCTTTTCAACCATACTGGTTAAATAAAAACCCAAGGGTGCTGCATTGATGGTTAGCATCCCTGAGGGTCCATTTTCACTGCCATGAAAATATCCCTTTTAACTGTTTCCTGTCAGTCCTTATCAGAGTCTCTGTGAGTTTTACTTTTCAATATTAAGTACTCCTGGATGATAATTTTCCAACATTATACTTATAATAAAAATGGAAAATAAGTGAAATCTTAGCTACAGACCTAGTAACAAGAGTGTAAAATCAAGTGCTTCCTATGAGAGACAATACGTACAATGGTTGTGACACATATTGTCATGAGTCAGCCTAGGTTTGAATCATCTTATATCTTACGTAACATATAAAGTCTTTAACTCAGGTCCAGTTATTTGAACTTTCTGTGACTCAGTTTCTGCACTTGTAAATTGGAGGTAGTGACAAGCATTATACTATTTTGTGTAAAGCTCTTATACCAGACCCTGACACATTACAAGTGGCATATGACTGTAACAGTAATTTGTAATTGAGTCATGGCTCTTTTAAACTGGTGTTTCAACTGAATTATCATAGCATGGTAAAGTCTATCAATTTTACAAGATGTGGCTCAGAAAAACAAGCCACAAGAAATACATTTGCTTCCATATCTATATCTAGATAAGGCATTGAATATAATTTTGGAGGTGGAATGACCAATTAATGTATTTTGGTCCCCCTTTTCCTTTTCTTTTTTCCATTCTCTTGACTTATTTTTATAGCTTTCTCTGAGCTATATGCATTCATATTTAATGATTGCCATTTTTATTCTTTTTTTAGTATTAAATATTAAATATAGGGCAGAATACCTCCTTTAATTTCTCTTTAGAGTAATAAAATATTACCAGTAACTTTTTCTTAAGATCTGTAGCAATACTCTTTGTCAAAACAGAAGTACTTAATAAAGCCAGGAAAACACCTATGAAAAGGTCTTAGGAAGAGTATTATTATACATTGGATAAATGAAATGTATCAAATAAACATCTAAGACATGAATTGGTGCAGATTTGATCTCAGGAAGCTCTTATACAACAGGCTTTATGATAAATTCTAATTACCAAAGAGTTTTAATGATTAATTTTAATGACTTTATTCACAATGAAATTGTTAGAATGAATAAGAATAACTCCTTTGAACAGATATGTGGTTGCCAAGGGAGAGGGGGTAAGGCAGAGATGAATTGGGAGTTTGGGATTAGCAGATGCAAACAGTTATATATAAAATGGTTAAACAACAAGATCCTACTGAATAGCCCAAGGAACTATATTCAATGCCCTGTGATAAACCATAATGGAAAAGGATATGAAAATGAATGTATATATATGGATAACTAAATCACTTTGCTGTACAGCAGAAATTAATGCAACATTGTAAATCAACTATTCTTCAATAAAATAAATTAAAAAAAAGAATAACTCCTTTATAAATCTTGTAATAGATGAGGTTTGTGATTGCTCAACAAACACTTATTCCAAAATCTCAGATTTTGTCACCTAAAAATATTCCTCTGCATTAGTATTTAATTTTACAGTATCAGTTTACATATTTAGACCAACAAAGTAACATTAGAGTATGAATTCCAATGTAATCATCTGTCTTCACAAAAAGAAGTTTCCAGGTAGCTCTTGGGGAAAATGCAGGGATGATATTAAAAATAATAACCTGTTGGGACTTCCCTGACATTCCAGTGGTTAAGACTTTGCCTTCCAATGCAGGGGGCATGGGTTCATTTTTTCCTGGTTGGGGAACTAAGATCCCACATGCCTTGGGGCCAAAAAACCAAAACATAAAAAAAACAGAAGCAATATTGTAACAAATTTAATAAAGACTTTAAAAATGGTCCACATCAAAAAAATCAAAAGTAACAAAAAAGAAATAACCTGTCAAACACAGGCTTGAACCAATAGGATGGATGCTGGCCACAGAGTTGGAGTGAGGTGCTGGAGTACCCATGTTTCACCAAGACTTCACCCTGTAGTGCTGGCTAACAGGAAGGTGTGGGGCCTTGTGAAGGAAGCTGGGGAGGAAAAGAAGGGGGAGCTTGAGAGAATTGGGATCCCAACCATTTACCAACCTGTACGGTCATACAGTACATCCTGAAGAATTATGTATATTCATAGCATCCTTGTGAAACACACATATGAAAAGCCAAGAGTGATGAGGAAGTACCCTTATTACCAAAAGGAGATTCAAAGAATAGTCAATATTTATCTGTTCTTCATGGAAGTTGTTATATTCCTTGTTGACAAAAGAAATTGTGGTAATTGCATTCAAATTTCCTTGAAGTTTCTCAAACTCAAAAAGACAAAAACAAATGAATCAACTTAACCTAGAGAAAATTTTGTTTAAAATTCCAATATTCTTATGTTCGACTATATAATATTTGCAATTTCTTTCTATTGTATTTTAATAATTATTTCGGATTTCTCCCATGCTCATTTAATCCATTTGAATTTCTGGAAATGCTCGAAGATATTCTAAACAGTAGCAAAGATAATTTTTAATTTATGTTTTGGAGATCATGAGTCAAATTCTTTTGAGAGTCTGCAATTTTAATAAAATAAGTAAATTTAAAAAATTTTTATTTTCCAAAATTAAAAAAAAAAAGTATCTTTTCTATTCATGGGGGAAAAATCTAAAGAGGAGTTCATTATACTTATTTTATCAGAGTATAACTTGTTCCAAATAAAAAGTTGTGAAAAGGAAAACCAAAATTTCAGTTTAGAAATTTGTATTCTGTTCAGTTGTTAAGAGAATTCCAGGATGATTCATATTATTCCATTTTTCTTTTCTCTTATTTATTTATTCCTTTACATTAAAATTATTTTCAAAATACTTGTTGTTATTTTCCTTTTTATAATTCAAAACAGTCTCTATATACAAATATAGCTCTGAAAGCAGAGGCTTTACAACATTATGGACAATTCTCTGGCAGACTGAATTTTCACTGCCCAGATTTCAAATTTACTTTGAATGTCAATATTAAAGACTAATTTAAATATTTTTTGATTTCTATAAAAAGCTTAATTGATAATTGTTACAATTTCAACAAACATTCTTTGAACTCCATCTGCATATAATTATGTAAGATTTTACAGGAGCTACAAAAATAAGTAAGAGAAAAATCTCAGGCCCCTAGTATCTTATAATGATGGATGGAGGATTAGACATGGTGTGACCTGGGCAGGTCACTAGGCCACAAGATATCTATGATATGAGTACCATGAGAAGAAGAGGCTATACAGTTGGCACGTAGAGGTAGTTCCTCTACAGAGCTCATCAGGCTAGGGAATAATGAAGGGACCAGTCTATCTTCCCTCTCTTCTGTAGAATAACATGGAATCCAAAGACTTCCTTACCCATCTGCCTTATGTTCCTACATACGTTTGTTCACCACCCTCAGTAAAACAATGTACGTGTAATGAGAGTTACAACCAATGGTCTCTTTGGGACATATATTGCACTAACCAAGATTATTTGTAATATTTTATTGTTAACTATTTGTTCTATAACCATTACCTTATTGCCCTTTAGGGAAAATCTTGGAAGAGATGCTGTCATACCTTTTTCTAATTGCTTTTGAAAGAAAGCTCTTAATTTGCTTCTTTTTTCATCTTCCTTTGGTGACTATGCCTTAGGATAGGTACTTGGCAAGGGGTAGACTTTTAATACAGCGGATCATATGCACTCTGCACTGTTTATATTATTACATCTAATGTTTTTTACTGAGTGTCTTGTTCCTTTCAGGACGGTTCTTTTCACTCTGACATCTGTGGTTGTACTTGTCATTACAACTGACTGGATCAGCTGGGACAAGCTGAATCGGGGATTTTTGCCCAGTGATGAAGTTTCCAGAGCCTTCCTGGCTTCTTTCATCTTGGTCTTTGACCTCCTTATTGTAATGCAGGTAAGTGACTGTATTTTCCCCCTCTCGCTGAAGCCACTCCATGCTTTGTTCTCAGTAAACAAACACTATACAGTGAAAGGCTCCATAAAGCTAGAGAAATGCATAGTTTACAGTTGCTATAAATGGAGCCTTCTCTGATCATATTTTCAGCAATTTTACTGAGAGGATAAACCAACTGGGCTTTTATGAGAAGGGCACCAAAAAGTCATTGTATGACCATTGAAAGGTGGCCCCTGGAAACCATACAGAATGGTTGTGGTATTTTTGCCAAAGCTTCAGGGAAAAAAACAAAACAAAGCAAAACAAAAAAACGCCTGCCATTTAGTAAATGGAAAGCTGCAGAGATGAGGATGATATAAGCCAACAAAGCAGGGATAAGCAATTGCCAAAGCAACTTAGGGTTTTAGAGCAGTTGAAATGGAATAATATAAAAATGCTTTTTCTGCTTATGGAAATTATCACTTTCTTTCAGTATTCACCAGAGATCATTCCATTTTCATGTAAACAATATTTCTGCCCTGCTCAGCAACAGATTCTTTGTACAATGGCATCGTGCTTATCAGTGCTACTCGTGTAATCTTCTGGTGTGAATGCTTTGGGGTCTCAGGGGTGTTCCTTTGAATCGGAAAGAGACATTAACTATTACTTAGCACTTTATCTTGTTCATTAAATACCCATCCATTTGCTAGACATTTTCTTATTACTTTCATAAGGCAATTTTGTGTTTTCCTCTCCAGAGCCATTGTAAGTGACCAGAACAAAGGCTCCATTGCTGAAGGGAAAGTAAACTTCATTGTGTTCTGAATTTATGTGAGATTTCACAGGATAGCAGATTGGTTTTCTCATTGCTATAGGCAAAGAGAGGCCTTTATAAGAGATTAAGTGTTTTAGTGTTAGTGTTTAAAAAGAGAGTAACAATCTGGCGTGTTTTTGTTTTGTTTTGGTTTTTGGGTTTCTTTGGTATATAACATAGCTGAGGTGTGAGAGGCTCAAGATGGTTCCTAGAGTATATTATTATTTTAATAGATGATGATTTAAAATACATTATTGTTTTTAAAAATTAAATGAAATTGAATTCTTTGTCTCGTCTAAAAATTGATGTATTTCTTTTTTATTTCCCATGGGATAGTTTAGCATAGTGAAGAAAGCCCTGGACTTTGAGTAAGGAAGCATTGGCAAGGTTCCATATCTGTCTCTCACTTGCTATAGGACCTCCTCTGGATATTTATAAAATTGAATTTATAGCACTTATGCAGTAATGTCATGCATTACTTTTTAAAGGCTATTTTATCTTTATTAATCTAATACTCCTCCTAACTGACATACTATTATATGTAAAATATCTGCTTTGGCCAGGTGGCCTACTGGTACCTCATTGAACCCATCTTAAAGTCAAAGGTACCAGTAGCCAAGTAGACCATTATCTTTTTTTTTTTTTTTTTTTTTTTTTTGCGGTACGCGGGCCTCACTGCTGTGACTTCTCCTGTGGCGGAGTACAGGCTCCAGACACACAGGCTCAGAGGCCATGGTTCATGGGCCCAGCCACTCCATGGCATGTGGGATCTTCCCGGACCGGGGCACGAACCCGTGTCCCCAGCATCGGCAGGTGGACTCCCAACCACTGCGCCACCAGGGAAGCCCTATCTTTTAATTTGTTTAAATTTATACATGTGAAAAAATAATTGTATATGTGAGAGCATAAATTTCCAGATTTCCTACTACCGTCCACAGTCTTTTACCCTCTTTATATAGTTTTAATTATTCTTGCAATAGGTTCACTAAAATCAGGGACTTGAAGTGAGAAAATGTAACATTAAAATTTGCAGATATTAGGGACTCACTCAAAAATTACTTCATAAAGAGAGATGGAAGGAAGGATAGTCAGGATTTATGCAGGCAGAGTCAGCAGGATTTAGAAGGGAAAGTCATTCTAGATGAAGGAAATGGCATGAAAATGTGGAGTCAGTAAAGTACTGAAGTGTGTACAGAGTGGCCAGAGCACCAATTGACTGAAGATGGAGGGCCCCTGCTGAGGAATATATCAGTTTGGACCATTTTGGCTACAAGTAACAATAACCCTGCCAAGCCAGCTTAATCGAAGAAGGAAATATATTACTGCATTATAAGGATGCCCTGCAGAATTAAAGAGGAGGGATGCAGTAGCATTTTAGGGACACATGAAAGCAGAGACTAAAGTGTAACAGGGAACCCAGTCCTAGCTCTTATTTCTCCATCTGTCATCTTTTTTCTTTCACTTCTGCTTTCTTTTTCTCTCTTACTGTAAAGCAGCTTTTTCAGCTTTTCAGTTCACATAGAAGGAGATGGTCACAGCCAACACCTCAGAGGGAGACTACTCTTGGCTGTCGGGTCTAATTCTGGATTCCAGGGAAGGAATAGCAGGGACTGGATTGTCCTGCAGCCATCTGTGAACTGACTGGGGGTGAAGCAGTCCCAGAGAAAAAGGGGGAGAGGTTGGGCCTCAAAAACCAAATTAATACAAGGAGGAGTTGAAAATGGGGCCCCCAGAGTAGGTCTCTCTCCCCCAACACCTGGTCAGCCAGCCAGACCTATCGATTCATCGTTTGTTACGTCTCTTGTAGCCATACCTTTCCTGCTCATTTCTCTGCCACCGTTCCAGTCCTGGCTCTCCTCTATACTATTGTAAAATAAGTTCCAGTGAAACCTTCTGCCTCCAGATGTCCCCTTGTCCCACACGCCCTATACAGCTCACCTTCCTAAGCTTCCAAGCTGAAATGCCATGTTGCATATGTCACTTTTCAACCAAATATATTGTCAGTGACTCCCATTGTCCGAGAATGAAGTCCAGACTCTAGGAGCTCTCTCTCAGGGCTCTCCACGGTCTGCCCTTGGCTGTGTTTTCTCCCATATCTTCTGTGCTCTGGTTTTACCCAGCCCTGAGGGCTGTTGCTTGGCCCCAACCACAGCATATGCTTATTCCAGGATGTCTGTGAGCCTCTGTTTCCTCCTCCGGTTGTATCTCTCTCCTGCTCTGCTCATTTAGACTTTACCATTGAAGACCCTTCCAATGCCCTCAGTAAAGCCAGGGGATGAATTCCTCCTTGCAAGTCCTGCAGCACACTTTACCTGAACTGCAGATCAGCATTTCACCTTTTCCTGCTCTACAGAGCAGAAACCATAGCTTATAATGATATATCCCTGGAGCCTGTCTAGCACAGAGCCTTACATAGGCGGCAATAGGCCCAGAGTAATAACTGCTCGATGAGGATAAAGAAGTGGCATTTCAGCACTGAGTCTCATGCAAACTCTGTCCCCTTCTGGGAGCATCACTGTTGAAGTGCAAGGAACTAGTGCATGTGGTGAGAGAGTGAATTTAAGGAAACAGCCCCAGAAACCATATATAGTCAAGCTTTTTAAAAATATCTAATACAAATGTCCTAACAAGTCCATAACCAACTAAACCCTGATCTAATCCACTTTATATTCACATATTTTAGACAAAAGAGCAATAGAAAAGTAGCAAAATTGGTGGAAATGGAGGCAGTAGTTTTACTGAAAGGTTTTCCCTCATTAGAATTAAGTGATTTAAAAGCAATAGACCCTAGGCTTTTCTAATGGTAGGAAAATTCAACTTATATGATTGAAAGAGATTTTAATATTTGGTTAAAAAAAAAAAAAAGAAAAGAAACCATTAGAATATGATACTACTGCTGTGAAGATTTTATTTTAACAAAATTAGTAGGCCAATTCTGAATACTTGTAGAGAAAGTGCAATTATTTATTTTTTGAATATTTTAAATAGAATTTTTGTTTATTGTGAAAACTATTTGTTGTATCACATATTTCTGTAGTTTTAGGAAATTCACTAGAACTAAGGCATAAACAGTTGCCAGTAAAGTATAACATGACTCATATAAGTCACACATTATTACAGAACATAAGAGGTAAATTGCAAAGAACAATTCCCTCTGAGGAAATCTTATCTCAAATTCATTTAGTATTTATAATTACATCACTTAACTTTTATATACTCCTTTAATTCCTTACATAAGTATTTAATTTGCAGTTCTATCCCACCTACTCATCTTTTCTGGTAGATTGAAGAAAAGATATACCTAAGACATATAAGAATTAAAAATACAACATGTTATAGAGTAAGCAAAGAACAAAAATGTGTCTTGGGAGTTCACCAAAAAAAAAGAGAGAGAGAGCAGTGTAGACGTGTAGCCAACATAGTAAGGGAAAACTTCAGAGAAGAGATTAGATTAGAAGGACAGGCAGCTAGAATTTGAAAAGGCAGAGCAATGAACAAGAAAAATTTTCTAGCTGGGAGTAGTATCATAATCATCAAGGTAAGAATCAGTTTTGTTCCATTAAGTTCAGAAAATGTAGACAGATTCATTTCTAGTGTGCACTGCACCCGGTGCTGGAGACGGGGGACAGGGGGAAGGGAGATCAAAGATCAGTGACACACCGCACAGGAGTTTGTAGCTGCAGAGAGGAATTCACAGTTTAATAGAATAAATAGGAGTAGAAAAGTAGAGACATTTGAGAAAGACTATCTTTATTTAGATGAATGGTTCAGGTAGAAAGTAAAAATTCCTACCTCGCACTTTTAAATTCAACTAACCCACGCTGCCAGCATCTATTTGCTGATATGAAGGCTTTAGAAGAAGGAAGTCTCTCTTCATAAGCTAAAGAACATTCTGGGTTTTTTACTAGACAAAAAGAGAGAGAGTGAGAGAGGGAAGAGAGAGGAGGAGATGGAGTAGGAGAGGTGAGAAGCCAGAAAGATGGATACAGGCAGGAACGAGTGCAGGAGCCAGGGTGTGTGGGGGAGGTGGCAGGATTAGGCAGTGGTGATGACCACGGAGGCTGATGAAGTTATATCTAGGGACAAGTTTCTCATAAATGCTTTACATAACTGGACTCTGGCAGATTGGTGTAAGGAGATTAAAAAACTCTTCAGTTTCACGACTGGACCAGTGTAGCCTAGCATCAAGATAGCATCTGCTGAACAA